GTCTCATACCGATGGTGCGATGTTTTCGCGTATTGTACTCTGCAATGAGTCGAGATAGTTCGTCGATCCATTTGTAATTTCCATTCAGCGTAAACATTTTCCACATATTGTTTTTTAAAGTACGATTGAATCGTTCCACGACCGAGGCTTTCATAACGGAATATATCGAGTAATGATTAATGCTGTGTTTCTTCATGAGTTTCTGCACACTCGAGTTGTAAAATTTTTTTCCTCTGTCGGTTTGAAAATTTTTCGGACACCTTTTATCGTCTCCAATAATCTTTGCGATCGTTTTGGACATTTCATTCCCACTCTTACTCTTGAGCGGTACGGCCCACGCATATTTGCTCAACACATCGATAACCGTGAGTATATATTTTTGACCCTTGTTGAGTCGAGAGTACGAACGCATGTCCACCACGTCCGCCTGTCACAGATCGTCGTATCCGCGTACAATGACGCGTCTTCGTGGAAAATTTCTTCTCGCCGGAGCATGTAAATCCTCGACTAATTGCCGTTTTTGGGAGATGTTTTTGTTCTCTCGCACGTTTGATCGAGGTATAATTAATATGCGATATTAGTATATCCGTATATCTCGCTTACTATGCCGAATCAGATGTTGCATATCTCAGCACATTCTTTATCTCATCCATCATTAATCGCAGCGTCTGTACGTTTGTTTCGAGCGCGATAATTTTTTGCTCAATTTCTCCCTTCACGTATCGTTTGTTGACGGCGTCAGTATCAGCTTCCGGTTGTGCTACGCGTTGAATCTTGCGCGACCTTGCGTCAAAGCCGGTAGTAGTCTGACAGAGAGCGTTATCACGAACGTAATTTCTCAATAATCCATTCCATTCATAGTACAAATTGTTCGACGTTCCCAACGATAATTTATTATCCAAATTTATTAATCGACATTTCGGTATCGAGAACATTGATCGAATGACACGTATCGCCGATGCATAGTTTAATTTATAATAATGCCAGCCTCGCGAAGTTCTTCGATAATTGACAAGATTTCATTGTCGTGAGCATTGTTGCCGGTTCGACGCAAGGCGTCCAGCAATCGCAAACGATCCACCAATTCGTTGGGATCGTTCCAATGCATGTAATCGATCATGTTGTCGCTTAGCGTCATGGTGCGCGGCGCGTCTATACCTCTTCCCACCTTTCTCAGGGAATAATGGCGCAATTATATATTTGTACTTGTACCCTTTATTAGCTTTAATAGGATTATTAACTTTGTTGTCGCGCTTATGCGCATTTGTTATATTTAATATACTTTGATGTTTATATAAATCGTCTCGAGTATATTTTTTATGATTGGGAAATTTTTTAAAAATCAAATCGTAGATACCTTCGGTTCCCTTATATTTTATTCCATCGATAATTATATTATCTTCCTTGTCCACATCGAAACATTTATCACCGAGCATCATTCCTTCGTTGGTAAATTTAACACCATAAACGTAATCCATACTCTTATTTTTATCAACACTCATAATATCTCCTATATATTTTTGCGCCAGTGGACCTAAATGCTCTCGGAACGTTTTCTGACCTTCGGACGTTTCTAATTCGTGTTGGACCGATGTTACAAACGAATCGGGCGTGGTCTCGTAAATTTCTTCGACGGACGTGGATAGTATTGTTTGACGTGGTTGTTACTTTTATCGGAGTAGAAACAGTAGCCATATTAGAAAATTGCTTCCTTCGCTTTGATCGATTCGATGTTGAATATATCGGTGAATCGTTTATCGGCATATTTATCCGTGCTCGCTTTATTCCTTGCTTTGACTCTTTTATTTTTCCTCATGCTTCTCTCCAAACGTCAAACTCAACGGTTCGATTTTTGACGCATCAGATTCCACAGTATTTTCAACAAGCTGTTTTAAAGGCTCGGTGATCGGCTTAAATTGCCTTTCCAATATGATATCTTCCTCCATTTTATCAGTTTTCAAAGCGCGATATTTTTTGCGAATCGATTCGCTCGTTTTTGCAATCTCTGTCGCAATCTTTTCACGATCGCCGTTCATGATGCTCGATCGATGTGTCGATGACGACTGATCGCTTTACTGCATCGCGAAATCATTAAATCCTCTTCTATATCGTCCATTGATCAATGTACTATCTTTATCAATGACTACGAAGCGACTACCATATTTGCGTTGTCAACATTTCTGACACAATGCACAGAAATCGTCGTAAGACATGTCGGTATTCACGTGATCGTTGTACACGTGTTTCAAGTTTGTGCCGACGCGACAATGCGACGATAATTACTCGACGATTGCAAGCAGTTTTTTGTCGTAGTAGGTTGCGGTAGGTTAAGGTACTACTGGCGCTATCGAACGCAATCATGTGTTCGATTGAAAAATGCGGTAAACATAATAAACATTTAACATATTAATATTATTACTACCGCAATCTACTATAACAAAAAACTGCTTGCAGTCGCCGAGTAATTATCGTCGCATTGTCGCGTCGTGTAGTAACGTGTCTGTGCGTGTTTCTTTTATCGAGTGATTTTTAATCGCCACAGTTATTATTCGACAGTGATTAATAGTGATTAGTGATAGAGACATTAGTAAATTTCTCGTCTCGTCGAGTGAATAAATGTGATTATGTTAAAGTTTATAAAAGAATGCAGTTCATGAAAGAAGAAAAACTTTCAGTTAATAATTTAGTGTGGATTTCTGTCTTGTGCAACGTGATATCTACGTTAAATTTGAGAACGCACGATCTATCGGAAAATTCATTTCTTCTTCAAGCAATTACAGCAATACATCAGAAGTCATCGAACAAGGTAATAATAACTATTTTTTGACGTTATGTGAAAACGGATCTCGGGAAGGACAGAGGGACAGTGTGTCAAAGAAAATTCGTGAAAAGAGAGGGGTTTTTAGTGGGTAGGGAGTACCGAATTGGTAATTTGACTTGGTACTCGAGTCCCACATAACTCACTGGATCGACCGTTGGGTATGCATAAAATGCATTTTCCCCTCTCTCGTAAAAAAAAAAAAAAAATACAGGTGAGTGAGCGAATAAAAGAGAGAGAGAGAGAGAGAGAGACAGACAGCAGACAGAGAGAGAATGTATGTGTTCGCATGTGTGTCTGTATATGAATAGCGACCAGCTGATCACAGCAGGCGCCCCGCGTAAGCGCCTGCGTCTGACGTTGAATCGCGTCACCCTTGTCTGCCTTTTGTATCCGACCCATCATACGTTAACTACTTTCTTTAATAATTCGAAAACTAAGCTTCGGATGAAATTTTGCAAAAGGAAAAATCGTCTTAGAATTGACTCAACAATGTGTCATTTCACAAACACAGGGGTTATTTTGAATCACCCTGTATAATAGTTGGTAAATTATATTTTTTGCATTCACTCTTTACAACCGGCTCCGGAAAATTTACAATAACAATGCTGTTTGCCATTGCATTCACGTTCTCAAAATTGTAAACTTTTTCATAAGGTGTCAGACATCGCGTTGATATGGATGGAGAATATGGTTGTACAGATTTATCGAAAGCATAAATTTTAGAAGATATTTCATACGACCTTCTTATTATTATCTTTTCAACATATTCGGCTGCATTTACGCTTTTGAGACTTGCATATTTCTTTTTCAAAACGTATATATATTGAAGTACGTCGTAAATATTCAATTCAAATGATAAAATGTAAATGTTTGTTTTGTCAATCGTCATAGATTAAAATAGCATAATATTATCACTTATGTTTTCCTTGTGTAAAATTGTATTGCACATAGAAATGTTAATGTCTGTCACAAATATGTAATCAGCACTTAACCAGTCAATTAACGGCTCCTCATTATTCATGTTATCAATTATCATATCACTAAACAAATGATCATGAAATTTTGAAAGGCAAAAAGATGCATTTATCCAAACAATTTGCTCGATTTTTCCATGGAGATGAGTTTTCATCATTTTTAAATCATGTTCTCTCCTCGTCCAAATATGTGATATATAATATAAAATTCTAAAAAAATATGTAATTATTTTACTCATAAAACATTATTCTAACAAAAACAGAAACTTATGAAGTAAAAATTCGAAATTCTTATAATTATATAATAACTTATTGTAATTATATAATAAGTTATTATATAATTATAAGAATTTCGAGTTAATCTTATAATCTCATAATCTTATAATCTCATAATCTTATAATCTTATAATCTTATAATTATATAATAACTTTATATTAACATTTATAATAACTTATTATACTTTTTACTTGATTTTAATTATAAAACCACTAAAATTATAAAAAAATTACAAATTTGCATAAATCTTTAATGGAAAATTATTTTTTGAGGTAAATGGTAGTAAACGTACCCCATAGACGGTGATACATTTAAATAGTTGATAAGACTGAGAATCTCATTAAATTTAATTATGCCATTTTCCCACATTGTTAAACAAACGTCAAACTTTGTTAAACAAACGTCAAACTTTACAATATAAGAGTAGATTAAATCATCATAGGTGAAATATAGATTCCTTGCTACCCAGTTAATGCAGAGATTATGTAGAGTATTATCAAAGCTATTTTTGTGATATTATTTTCATTAATCTTCAATGTCATTAGGTTTCCTCTGTCACCCCAATAAATTCTATGTTCTTGTATCAATAAGCGACATTTACTACTAATCTGAAAAAAGGAGCCAATTATAATTCCATAGTAAAAAATTTTACTTGAGATTTCTAATTTTATAGTTATTACTACTATAATGTTGATAATAATAAACTTGTGCATAATAATAATAACTTTAACTTTATAATTAAAAACAATTTATGATAATTAGAACTGTTTTTTTATCAATATATGTACATTTTAAAATTTACGAAATTTACGAAATTAATAATGTTTAAATCCAAGTCCCATATTTCGATCTTCCTTGTAAGTAATAATATAGGTATTGAATTTTCATGTATAGTCGACACATTGATTAAATCCGTGTAAGAACCAGCAACAATTTTAGTATGCGCACGTACTCGAAAATAATATGTCGTGTTAGATGTTAGATTGTGCACCGTGTGCTCCAATTTTATAGTTGTGATATTTTTATCGTCGCAGGTTTAAATCTCTTTTAAATCCTCGATGAAAAAACATTGCATTGTGTACCCTTGTATTATTTCATCGGTAAAGTTAGGTTGGTTCCATCTGTAAAAGAATAACATTTCAGTCTTTTTATATCTAGTAAAATAATAGTAAATTTAACGTTTTTATGTGTCTATGTCGTTAAATTTAAGAAAAGGAGACACAAATGAAAGAATACAAACTGAGAATTTAGATTCTTTACCTCAATGTCACAAAAACGTCGTCTACTTTTTCAGTGAATTGACTGTCGAATTGTACAAATGCTCTGAGAGATGTTAGTTCAAACCGCTTTCTAGAGATTTTAAGATCGTATGTATTAATTATATATAAAGTAAGTAATTATATATAAGGTTAAGTGGATTATCTCAGTACATCAGAAAAAAAACAATTTAATGTGAAAATAAAGGAGGAGAAAAAATAAATGTACTCTACAAAATATATATGGAAATTAGCACAATATTGATCTTTAAAAAAATAATATAATAATTTTTTGCGTCATTTAAGATTTAGAAAAGTAATTGTTAATCGATGGCAAAAATGAATAAATAACTTTTAATAAGATGACAAGTATTTTTCGATAAATTCCTATAGCTTAAGAAATCAAAAGTATAATATTTGCAACTGCTTCGAAACGAAGCAAATTAATAAAATTGACTTTACCTTAAATCATGACAATTTTTATGTACAATGTTATGTTGTTTATATCATGCTTTTCTATTTCTTTTTTAGATGGAATAGAATTTATATTCTTCTCACTACTAAAAGATATTTTTAAATCTGATTTCCACTTTCTTTTGAATTTAAATTATATTTACACTTTTTCGTCAGATATTTTGTTATTAATGTTTTATGTATTTTTCTGCAACTTACCGATAAATTCTGGGATGATAGAAATATTCGCAAGTGTAACTTCATAAACTTCTCGCTTATTTCTTGCAGTACTATTAGAATGACTCCGGTTAGATTTGAAATTTAGTATATAATGATCACTTTTCTCGAACATTGAAATATCCTTCATAAAATATAACATACGACAAAAATTAGGTGAATATCGTTGAAGCGGTTGTTTCTGGTGTTTTTAATGTTAAATTATGTAAATTATAAATTTAAAGGAAAAATTGCCATTCATTTTTTGTTTGCTTAATAATACCGATTTGATATATACCATTCCTAAATGAAATAAATTGAATGTGATGTTGTTTCATTCATATCATAAAATTTATTTTTTATTTATTTTTTTAAGGCATCTTGTATATCAAACATAACTCATGTCAAAAATAAAATCAATCAATAGGTTAATGAGAGTTAATAGGATTTATAACAGCTTTTAGCAAGTAGTACAAGCGAAAATGTAGCTGTTTGCAATTATTAAAATAATTTTGTTTAACGATTTGATTCTTTCTCACGATAGGTTAGTTAACTCTTCTCAATTTTATCGTAACTCAAATTTCTTTTCAAAAGTTTGCCGATATTACTAAAGTTTTATTAATGTTTGTACTTCAAGAATAAAAAGGTTAAAAATATTATTTCTTTACAGTTATTAAGTATTAGTCTTAGAAATTATATAAATTCTTTATTTTTAACCTTGTCAAGTATTTTCTCTATTGTCGTAATATTTTTAACATAAACAAATCCTGGAAATGATAGAATAAACCGATAGTATAAATAATATATAATGCCTCTATAAAAATATGTGGACATAATTGTATATAAATGGATATATGCACAATGAAAATTAATAAATTCTAGTCATTGTTATTGAATATATTGTCGATTGAAATATTAGCGTTAATAGATACAACTTGAAGAATGTTATGTAGAATTAGACAAATTTTCTATCTCGATATTTAGTAGCTGTGTGCCATTATATAATTATTCTTAACACAAAGAAATGATGCTATCTTTCTAGTAAATTAATTTCATAAAATAAAATAATTTACATTAGTATAAAGCTTACTATATATCAATAAATATTATTATATATATCTAGGAAAATAAGGAAATTTTAAAAATTAAAGACAAATAACAGAAAAATCTGATAAAGTGCTATCATATGTATATAATAATGTAGATAGTACAAATATAATAACAGATAATAGACAGAAAACTTCATTAATTTTAAAAATTGTTATTTTTAGTAATAATAAATATATATATATATATATATATATATATATATATATAGAAAAAGAGAGAAAGAGAGAGACAAAATAATACAGTCGAATTTTAAAACACCGTTTTAGTTAAATTTAATATACTATATAACATCTATTTGTAAAAAAAATTTCGAAACTTTATCCATCTTTTTTTGCAACATCGTAAATACATTTTTCTTTCTGAATTGTTTTATTTTATCTTATCTTATTATAGAATATATAATTCATTATCATTCATTTTTAGTTAAACTACTAACTGCAATAACATTCAATTGTTTCTTAATCAAGCGAAAAATATCTCTTACCTGCGTGAAATTTAAATCCGAACACATGGAAACACTTTCTTCCTGGATGTTTGAAGTAATATAATCCTTCGGCGTAATAGTTGCCTCTGTCAGTACTAAACCTTTCAATAAAACACATAAAATTGTTCCAAACATAATTTGCATTTTTCATAAACGTTTGCACTCAATCAATTTCCATTGAATCCTGAATTAGTTGTTTTTCTCACTCTACTAATTCTGATGTGTTAATCTAATTGATATTAATTCATATATATATATATATATATATATATATATATATATGTATATATACCCACACAGCACAAATGACTGTTTGTCGACTAATAGTCGACTTTTTTCAGTCGACTTAAAGTCAGCTGTTAAAGTCGACATTTAGCCGACTATTTCCAGGATGATTTTTGTCGACTTTAAATTGTCGACTTTAAGTCAACAATTTAAAGTCGACAAAAATTATACTAGAAATAGTCGGCTAAATGTCGACTTCGAAAGTCAAAAGTAGTGCGCGCGTGACATGCGATCGCCGCGATTTCATCCTGTCGATCGTCTCTGTGTGTGTGTGCCCATTGTGCCTCCCGCGTGCCGGCTTTTTGTTCCAACTGTGCAATATTTATCAAGGTAATGTTCTTCTTTCATAATTAATATTATAGCATAAAATATTAAAGGATATCAGAGATATATAGTATATACATATGTAAATTTTATATGTAATAATTCGTGATATGTACAATTATGTACAAGTGAGGTTAGAATCGTCTTCTTTCTTCTCTATTGAGTTTCCGTGTATCTGTAATTAGTAACAGTATTTTTATTTTCAGCTTATCTTGTGCAATAGAGGCGGTGCTAATTCTGCAGTCTTATTGTTAGCCGAAACAAAATATCTGCATGAAGCAGTACGAAAGACGAAGCGCCGGCGAATTTGATTATTGACTATTGAGCGAAGCAGCACGTACGATACATAATCAAGGTAATTTACATTTCTAATTTTTTATTTAAATAATTTGAAAACACAATATAAATAACAAAGTGCCGTAACGGTCATTGCTAGATCTTAGTATTGATATTTATTGTGTGATTGTATATACCTTTTTAAGAGTTCACTAAACTGCACGCCAAATATGTTTTTAATCATAACAGCTCCAAGTTGAATTAATAGTAATATCACTTTATTTATTTGAAAATCAATTTAATAATTAATGATGCTAACTTGCATCGAAATGTGAAAACTCATCCTCCCCCCTAAAAAAAACTGTAAAGAAATATCGGTGAAGGGTTTAATAATGTACCTTATGCACTCACATAAATACACACATACACATTCATATATATGTATTGTTTTTTTAATGTCATATTTCAGAATGACGTTCTACGTTTTGCTTTATAACAATTACTGTGTAACAGTACCAATAATTTGGATTAACTTTGAACAGTCTTCTTTTAAAATGCCTGCGACAAAAAATCTTACTCAATCTTGTCGGAAGCAATTGTCACCACATGATGATTGGAACGAATTTAAATTTCATAAACATTTTGGTCCGTATGGTACGTTTTTTATCTCATATTTATATCTATCATTTATATTTTATTAAAATGTAAAATTCATATTAATGCAAAAATGTTACAGATATCTACTTAAGTGCACGGTCAGTTGAACAAGCAGTAGCCCAAATGTCTACATCAGATGACAATATTGTCTTACAGGAAGAAACAAAGAATATTGCGAAAAAAAGATTGATTAAAGCCCGAAAATTTTATGGCGACACATCGAATGAAGGTATGTATGCTACATTTTTACTCTTAGGCTGCGCACAATGGAAGAAATATTTGGGACAGAAATTAAACATTATTTCATGTGTATTTCTTATCAAGTATCAGCCGAATATGAGTTGCGTCGACTAATATCAATAGCCTAATGGATGATCTTTAGGCAATCGACATTACTTAGCGCAGTTCAAACTCGATACTTGATAAAAAGTATGAGCAAAATATTTGATTCCTGTTTGTAATATTCTCTCCATTGTGCGCATCTTAGGCGTTCTATTATACACTGTGAGCGTCCGACATCAATAGTGCACGCTTAGCATTTTTTTATGTTTAGATTGATTGTGATACTTATAGTACATTTATTCTAAGAGTTCATAGAAAATATTTATAGAGACTTTATTAAGATTGGATTCCACTTTCAGTGTATCTTTTAATAGATTACAAAAAATATGCTCTATAGACTTTAAGCACTTGCAGTGAATATTGGAACTTAATCTTAAGAAAGACTAGACATTATAGATTGGGTTCCAGTGTTCACCACAAATGCTCAAACTTTATAGAGCACACTTTCTGTAACCTCTTAAAAAATATACACTGAAAATAGGACCCAATTTTAATGAAGTAGTATGATATTTCATTGTTGTCAATTCTTTTAATAATGCTAAATGATTCTCTTGCTTTGTTTCGGAATGCAAGTTAATATAATAATTTTGTTAATTTTTTAGATGAACCAAAAAAGAAGAAAATTATAAAATTCCCGTCGAATTACATTCCAGAAAGTGGAAAGAGTGTTTCTCAATTATCAAGCCAGCCGATTAATGAATCATCGACAATTACTAACCTAGGTTTGTCATTTATGTATGCATGTAATACAACATACAGAGTATTCCCAAATTAAATGTTAAGGCTTCGGGAGCGTGTGGCGGATCGAAAAACTAATGCAAAAAGTTCTGTAGAGATTTGCTCGTGTTTGCTTTGTTTTGGAGAAAATTACTAAAACAAAAAGAAATTATTTAAACACCTTTTCTTTTTTACTATTTTCCAAAACAAAGCAAAAGCGAGGAAATCTCTACAGGACTTTTTGTTTTTATCTTTCCCCTAAATGTCCTTGACATCTTGATGTTTAATTTAGGAACACTGTATAAATGATCAAATCTCTTATAGCGCTTTCGAGTGCAATGGGTTCTAACTTGGTTCATGACGGATTAATGACGTTACATGCTCTATTTTATGTTTTCATTGGATAATTCCAACATGTGACGTCATTATTCTGACTCGGGTTGGATTAAAACCCACTGTACTCGAAAGCACTATTATTGTCAGTTAGAAAGTTGTAAATGTATACATTTGTACATGTATGTATATTTATGTGTAGCATGCGGATCTATTAAAGCAAACGACGAGGCTTTAACCAACGTGCCAACCAAAAGTGTCAACGATATTAATGAACCTGAGATCAGTGATGAAATATTGGAAACTAATTTTGTAGACGTAAACTCATTAGATTCATACGAAGATGAGTCATCATGTAGTGACACAGGTACATTGATATTTATACATTGAATACGGAATATATTTTTGTATGAATAAAGATTTGTTTTGTTTAAAAAAAAAAATCAAAATAATTTTGTATATGCAAACATAAATACTGTCGTAAATAAATTGTTATATATCTTATTATCATTTATTTTTTTTGTTTATTGAGTAAAAATACGAACAATTTAAATAAAAATCTTATATTTCTCTTGCTTTTCAGAAATGCAAAAAATGACACACGAGAAGCAAGAAAGTCGAAAAGTTGTAAAAGGTAGGTTTCAAATTATTATGTCATCAATCTTATTAAATATCCTATTCTTCCCTCCGTATCTCTTGCTGCTCTTGTATCTTAATGAAAAATCCTCTTTTCCTTTCTTCAGATTTAATATATACCTCTTTCTTGTTTTTCTTGATAATTCTATGAAACTACTTCCAGCAGTTTATAGGAATATTTTCATCTATTATTTCTTTTTCCTATATTTATTAATGTACTTCCATGTACTTCCACATACGTCCAACATCTTCCTTTCTCGTTAGCTATTATTTTAAATTGACCATCCTTGATCTTTAGTTTTGCTTATCAATATTTGGCCTTCTTTATAAATTTCTCCTTAGATTATCTTGATTCCCCATCTTTTTTCTTCTTTCCTTATCAAACCTCCTTTTAGTCCATAATAGAACTATTTCCTATTCTGCTATTTTTGTTAAGTATTTATTAATTGTAATGTAATAATTGTAATTGTAGTAATGATTTCTCTTTTCATTCTTTTCTTTTGTTTTATTGCCAAAATAAAGCTCTACACAAATTTATCCGATAATTTATCTATAATGTTCCATTTGTATCACTGCAATGCCAATAATGTAAACGATATATTTCTTTCAATTACAGGGAACGTAACAGCTCGACCAACAATTGTATCACAACTGATTATTCTTCCTTCCACGAGCAATGATGACACTAATGTATTAAATATAATACAAAATAAAGAAAATATTGAAAATAATTCAATGACATTGGAGCATTCATTTTGTTGTGGTAAGTTTTATTTCATTTTGTACTATTATATGTAATTATTATACAGGCTGTATCAGAGCGACCGTAACAGCAGTTTTTTGAGGAACCTAAGCATTTGAGAGAAAAATGTTTCGTACAAAAGTTGTAGGGCTTAAAATAATCTATTTGACGATCGTATCAGTTTGACTTTGAATAGCACCGTCAAGGTCGCATAAAAAATACTTTGAATTTTTTAAATGGAAATCCCCATTTTTTTATTGCATATTCTTGTAGCTTACCTCGAGAGCTTTTCAAAACACTATAATAAAATATTTTTCTCTTAAGTACTTTTCGAGTTATGAGACTTGAAATCACTTCTTAATTTTACATAAACCGTAAAATATCTTGTAAAATATTAATTTTTCGATTATTTTACTTTAATATTTTTATGTACAAAATAATGAGAGGAATCAATTGGTGTAAAAAAACATAATTAATTCGAAAAAAAAATGTAATTCGCAATTAATTAAATTTTTTTTCGAAACAATTATGTGTTTTCTTTACACCAATTGATTCCTCTCATTATTTTGTACATAAAAATATTAAAGTAAAATAATCGAAAAATTAATATTTTACAAGATATTTTACGGTTTATGTAAAATTAAGAAGTGATTTCAAGTCTCATAACTCGAAAAGTACTTAAGAGAAAAATATTTTATTATAGTGTTTTGAAAAGCTCTCGAGGTAAGCTACAAGAATATGCAATAAAAAATGGGGGTTTCCATTTAAAAAATTCAAAGTATTTTTTATATGACCTTGACGGTGCTATTCAAAGTCAAACTGATACGATCGTTAAATAGATTATTTTAAGCCCTACAACTTTTGTACGAAACATTTTTCTCTCAAATGCTTAGGTTCCTCAAAAAACTGCTGTTACGGTCGCTCTGATACACCCTGTATATTCAGTAATTGAATAATGAATGTCATTCAATAATTGAATGTAGTAATTTTACACACTTAGTAAAATAGAAAAGGCAATTGGTTATAGCTGGATCTCGGCGCTAATATCTTATTATGCAATTTTATATACATCTTCAAGATCAAACTGCACATCGAATAAATTTGAGATCCTCGAAAAGCTATAACTAGAATGAGAACAATATCGCGATATTATCACGATTTTTACTGGAGGTGTTATTTTTTGAAACAAAATTCTTCACTTGCAATATTTTAAATAAGAGGGGTTTTATTAGATAGTTGTTATCATTATTATCTAATCATCAATTTAATCTCTTGGTACTATTCTTCTTGTTTTCAACCTATAACTGTATCAAGACCAAATATTTGTTCGGCGCGCAGTTTGATATATGTAACGATATATGTAAAATCACAATATAATATATTAAATAACATAAATTTCAGTTGCATTTTTGCAGGTTAATTTTTAATTATTTACTTTTAAATATTTCTTTTGTTGTATAGAAAAATGCCGCAAAAATTACTTGGTCAAATTTGTGACAATTGAACGAAAACTCAATCGGATCATTCATTTTCTAGAAAATGAAAATAATGTAACGAATAACGGAATGAAATAGAACAAGACGATGTGTCGTTGTTACCAAATTTTCCTCTCACTACAGTTGAATAAACAGAAATGTTCAATAACAGATTGGAAGATATTAATGTTCGGCGACAATTTGTAAGTATCTTGTCACATTAATTAATTGTAATTATACAAATTAAAGCCTATGATAACAGTAAGCTAATGTTAATATTTAGAAAAAAAAAATAAATTGAAGAAATTGTGCAATAAAATAATAAATGTATTATATAATATATAAAAATATATAAAAATATTGTTTTTATTTATTACAGATGAAAAAAATGGCGCGGTTTGACGGGGATACCGTAGCCAAACTTGTAAAAAATATAATGTTGGAAACTATCGGATATGAAGTTGCGGCAGCGTACACGTGGACAGGCCAAAAAAAAAAAGATTATCATTCAAAACAACGAAACTGGCTGACACAATAATTGGTATATAATTTTAACATTTTTCTTCATTCTTTGTAGTCGCACTGAACTGTATTTAAACAAACTTTTTTTTAACATTAAATACAATTCAGATGAGAATTTTTCTAGAACTACTTCATGTCATGTTAACATGTATTTTAACATGATCCAATTATTATGTTTGTAGCAATTATTTTGAAGAAAAAGGATACTACTACAATTACTGAAGTGGAAAGATGTATTCAAGAGTGGTTGAGACGATCCGGCAACAGAAAGCGAGGCTTAAACAAGTAAATATATTGTATGTACCTGATATGTTAAATTTGTCATTTTCTTTGGAAACTATTAATTTTATATAATATTAATATATAACATAAAACATTGATATTTTGTATTGAATAAAACTTAATCTTCGACCCATGGGTGCTGGGACTGTCTTCTTTCGAGAACAGAGTCCGCGTTGATTGACGCTCTTGATCAAGCTTCAATCAATGGGTGCTGGGACTGTTCTCGAAAGAGGATAGAGTCCGCATTGATCGACGACCAAGGTTAATCTTCGATCAATGGGTGCTGGGACTGTCTTCTTTCGAGAACAGAGTCCGCGTTGATTGACGCTCTTGATCGAGCTTCAATCAATGGGTGCTGGGACTGTTCTCGAAAGAGGATAGAGTCCGCATTGATCGACGACCAAGGTTAATCTTCGATCAATGGGTGCTGGGACTGTCTTCTTTCGAGAACAGAGTCCGCGTTGATTGACGCTCTTGATCGAGCTTCAATCAATGGGTGCTGGGGCTGTTCTTGAGAGAGGATAGAGTCCGCATTGGTCAACGACCAAAGTTAATCTTCGAAACTGGACTTGGAAACAATAAAAGTAAGGTAGAGTCCAAGGTAGAATAAAAATTCTCGCAATTCTGTTGTTTTCCAACGTCTCAATTCATCCAGAGAACGTGATTTTCAGATCAAACTCCTTCGGTACCTACTTTGTACATTGCAATTAATTTTTCCAAGTCTATTATAAGTTTGCTTTCACTTTGATGTTTGATAATTACTTATCCATAACTGCAATACTTTTTTCATCCTAGACATGACATATCAAGTACATATAATTTAAAGAGAACTGTGTAACATTAGCAGTTGTATTAACTCGAAAGGAGATATAACCAGTATGACGATTTTGTGATTGTAATAAGTACCTAATTCTTGTATACTTTCCACATCCAAAAAATCTGTTATGTGCAATTTATTTAAATATAATTATATATGCTTGTTATAATTCTAACAAGCATATATAACTATTATTTTCTAAAAAAAATAATTTAAAAACAATATATATTCTATTTATATATATCCTACAAAGCAGGAATATTCTCTAATATTTTATTCTTCGGTCTTTAAAATTCTATTTTTTCTCTTTCAACATTGCTCAGAAACATATATTTATATATAATTAGATCTCTTTGACGTACATCCAAGTAAGCTCTGTTATAAGTGGAAGTATTTATGCGAGATAATGAGACTAATAATATTATTTATTGTTAGAGAAAACGCTACGTAGATATGTTCTAGAGACAAAGTAATCCATACGATGGATAAACTGTTTTGAATGCAAATAGTAATATGTTATTAGAAATATTAGTTATACTGTAAAATATTATTATTAAAAATCATTAAATAGAGAAGTACTTTGTGTAATAAAAACAGTCGTTTAAATACAAGTGCTATTATATTTATAATTATCTTTATGTAGTAATGATTAAATATTGTTATTTAAAACTGAATATATAATCTTCATGTATTTCAAAAATTCTTACTGCATTATTTGCTTGCAAAGCATTATTATGTTTTATCATATGTAATTATTATGTTTAATAAAAATTTCTGTCATGCAAAACTGCCAATAATATGGAAGGCAAAAATATATAAAAAGATTATATATATAATCTTTTCATATATATATATATATATATATATATATATATATATATATAGTAAAACAAAATTTTTTGTTAAATAACTTCTGTCTTTAGAACATATCTTCTAGGTCTATGCACAATTGGCGTTCATGCCTTATAAAATATTTTTCAAAATGTTTAAAACTGTGTTAAAAAGCATGTTTAAAATAAGAAAACATGTTTTAAACATATATGTATTACTTTTCATAAAGTATATAAAATATATAATTTAGATATATAATTTAGTATATAATTTAGATGTATGTACGTATATGTATATGTTACGTTGAATTTTATTTCGAAACTATGTATTTTATGTAATATATATTAAGATGTAACATAAAATAATTTATATTTTTTCTAAATAACATTAAATACTATAAACAAATAACTTTTGTTCTCTCTTTCACTATTTTATTATATCCACTTACATTTGTACATTTACTACCAAATTTTTATTTTCATAATGACATTTGTCAAAAATTTAATTTTATTACTTTCAATATATAATGTATATTATTATATTTTTAATGTATATTTAAAATATAAAATTAAGTTTTTGATAAATGTCATTATGAGAATAAAAATTTGGTAGTAAATGTATAGATGATTTCAAATTGATTACAAGTCGACTTATTGCCGACTAAAAGTCGACCTAGTCGCCATAACCTCAAAAACAATGTCGGCTTATAGTCGCCATAAAGTCAACTTCTAGTCACCATGAAGTCGACTTAAAGTCGACTGTATATACTGACTTTTAGTCGACTATTTTCGGGTCATTTGTCGACTAAAAGTCGACAATAAGTTGACATTTAGTCTGACTTTGAAGTCGACTTTAGACTCCTTTTGTCGACTGACAGCCGACTAATAGTCGACTCGGTGCTGTTTGGGTATATATATATATATATATATATATATATATATATATATACCGGGTGTTTCAGACCACCCGTACACCCCATTTTAAAGCAAAGGAAGTGGTTATTTTGAAAAATGTTTCAGACAAAAGTTGTTGAAGATAAAGTAATGCATTACATGGGTAAATTTGATTGACCTTGGGTGGCGTCGTGAAGGTCATGTCAAGGTCGACTTGAATTTTTTAAATGGGAACCCCTATTTTTCATTGCATATTCTTGTAGCTTATCTCGAGAGCTTTCCAAAACACTATAATTAAGTACCTTTTTATTAAGTACTTTTTGAGTTATAAGGCTTGAAATAATTTCTTAATTTTATATAAACCATAAAATATCTAGTAAACCATTCATTTTTCGATTATCTTACCTTCATACTTTTATGTACAAAATAATGAGAGGAATCAATTGGTGTAAAGAAAACACATAGTTGTTTCTAAGAAAAAATATGTAATTTGCAATTAACAATTCCATATTTTTTCTTAGAAACAACTATGTGTTTTCTTTACACCAATTGATTCCTCTCATTATTTTGTACATAAAAGTATGAAGGTAAGATAATCGAAAAATGAATGGTTTACTAGATATTTTATGGTTTATATAAAATTAAGAAATTATTTCAAGCCTTATAACTCAAAAAGTACTTAATAAAAAGGTACTTAATTATAGTGTTTTGGAAAGCTCTCGAGATAAGCTACAAGAATATGCAATGAAAAATAGGGGTTCCCATTTAAAAAATTCAAGTCGACCTTGACATGACCTTCACGACGCCACCCAAGGTCAATCAAATTTACCCATGTAATGCATTACTTTATCTTCAACAACTTTTGTCTGAAACATTTTTCAAAATAACCACTTCCTTTGCTTTAAAATGGGGTGTACGGGTGGTCTGAAACACCCGGTATATATATATATATATTTTCGATAAATTCCTTGAAACTCAGTTTGAATCAAACGATAAGTAACGCGATAGTGCGTTTTGGCTAGCAATCACAATAGTAACTGACTTAGAATGATCAATCTGATCACGTGGTACCACGACGTTTTATTAGCTACTTCTGTTGTAATTTATTTTTCTCCACGGAGATACTCGCGTTATTTTAAAAAGAATTAAAATCTTTAAAAATTGTTTAACAAAAAAGTTATATATAAAACAAAAATAGTTCTATATATAAATAAAAATAATTATACATATATATAATTGTTTAATAAATTTTATTATAAACATTTTATATTAATTTATTTCTAAGTATCTTTCCTTTGACATAAGAAACACGTTTAATGTAAAAAGATATTCTGATTGTAAGAAAAGTAATAATGGATTTAAAAAGAAAATGATTTATACGTTTTTCTGTATATTCACATAATGCAGTTTGAATCAAACGATACGGTAACGCCGTACTGTTTTTGTATTAGTACAAATAAGTAAAAATTCACAGTAGCACATACATAACTAAAATAAATAATATAATTAATTGTACGAGCTATTATTATCATTATTTGCTATGAATAACCTTATAATATATATAACATATATAATATAACTTTAATTAATATTAACTTAATATAATATACTTAATATATATAATATAATATAATAAAAAAATTTATAATATTAATTACTTTATTATTTTAATTCTACTATTGTAATTTTATATACGACAATCTTTATTATGCACATGTGCATTAGTGCATCCAATCAAATTTTCCCTTTTTCCCGCTATAAATCAATTACTTTATTTCCAAAAAAATGTAATAAACACTTTACTTTAATTACGTGAAATATAATTGAAAATAATTCTATGATGTTTCGGTCTCCTTTT